TATTATTTGCACTTGTTACTAATAAATTTTACTAATAAATTTTATTTACTGATAAAAAATATTTTAACTTTTTTATTGATAAAAAATATATTTTTATGAACTTTGTGTTTATGTTTAATTGTATGTAAAAAGAGAACGGCTATTAGTTTCAAAACAACCCTTAATGATACAAATTCAATTTGTTTTGTTGATAAATTCAATTTATTATAACAGCTAGTACAAGGATTTAATATGGTTTTTTGGTTAAGGCTGTGTTTCGTATGTTGTATTAATTTGTGAGTTAAAGTATCTCTTGCAATCTCTATATAATAATAGAAAGCATTTTGTTGGTTGATAAAAAAAAATTGATTTATTGATAAAAAAATTAATTAAAAAAAAAAACTTGATTTCATATCCCTTCTTTTTCTTTTGAGACTAAACAGGAAGATTGAACACACTTGAATTGAACCTAGATTCCATGAATTAACCATTATTCTATGTGCTTTAGGATCCCATATGTTTCCATTAATTAGATCATAAAGATATATGATTATAAGAAATATCTTAATCTTTCCGAAAGTAAAAGTAATCAAACATGTCAGTATTTTCTAGTTTCTCTCTGTCGGATCTGTCTTTTCCGGATCTTGACGTATACATCTCAGACAGAAACATCGTGTTTTCCTTTTTCGCAGCCTGTCATTCAACGCAGTTGGTAGGTGTAGCTTTCTCCATTTCGTCCAATCCCCACACATAAAAAAATGAACTGTCGATTCGCAATATGAGATAAGGGGTTATATCTATCTCCATTTATACGTTTTTGCCCTTCCCAAGTAATGTAGTCATCATATGATTCTAATAAAACGAGCTTAATAAGGGCAATTAGCTAGCATCTCAATCAGAACTTGGAATGCCAAAACTAGCTAGTGTCCAAAGCTTTTGTGTGTTCATGCATTAGGCCTATTGTGTCCATAGCCTTATTATTCGCGTTCGGGTAAATTATTAGGATTTGTGAATGATGATGCTAAATTGTTATTTTTTTTGTACATGCATAGAAAGTTAATTGCTAGTATATATAAAATAAAAATTTCAACTTGTTTCCTTTAAAAGTATATTTATTGCACATTTTCACTATTAATTTTTATATGAAAATTATAAACAAAATTTTATTTTCAATATCAATATCACATGAAAAATTTTAATTGAACAATTAATAAAATAAAAGTCAATTTTTATTTTTTATACAAATTAATAGTGAAAATATATAATAAACATACTTTTAACCTAAGCACAAGTTAGAAATTCCTATATATAATTACGTCTTATTAGTTTGAATTATCTATTTAAATAAAATTAATAGTCTCGCTTATTAAAGAAAATTAGAATTGATAGTCTTGATAGTCATATTTAGTAACTATTAATTGTTATTTATAATTCAAAATATTCATATTCATTTTTAAACCAATAATTAATTTATAGTGTCGATTCCATAAAAACTTAAACAAGCTGAACCTTAATAATTAAATGGACAATGATACTGAGAACGAACAAAGAGGATGAATTTCTAGGACGAATGACATGGCAAACCACGTCGTTAATATATTAATTTTAAAAAATTAAAATTAAGTTTTTTTTTTCATTTATCTTCTACCTCCCTTTTGTTTTTTTTTTTTCTTTCAAAATCTCCTATCTTTCTCTCTCATCTCCCCCATTTTTGCCAAGCTCCTCCTCTAGTGAACTTCGTTGAAATCAACGACCAGGCTCAACCCTATCCTGGCAATCAAAATCCCATAGCCATGGTTTTAAAATTTCAAAAAAGAAAAAAAAAAAAGAAGAAGAATAAGAAGAACTAAACTCAAACTGTTTGGTAAAATTGAACCGTAACTGGTAGAAACTTTAAATCTACAGTTAGTCTTTGCAAAGGAATGAGAGAAATAGCGACAAAGGATGAGGATTTAGAAAAAAGAATTTGGATTTGGATGAACCCAAAACAAGGAAAAGATCGCAAAAACATGGGGAAAATGTGGAAAGGAGGTGAGATGCTTGTAGATTCTATTTTATTAATATATTGTTGAAGTGATAGGCCACCTCAAATTCGTACCATGAATTCGTCTCCCTTTTTCGACTTTCTTATCGCTATTCTAATTAAATATCAACTCTTGACTAAACTCTTGTTGGTCTATTGATGCTTAATATTTCCATTTCCTTAATTAATTATAGTTGAAAAGGTTGACTTCACATTCATTGCATAAATCAGCATGCATGCATGGCTCATATATAATTATATTGCACCGCTATGTTATGGTCTTTGGTGGTGTGGAAATTTGTTGGTACTAGCTAAAAAATTATATCTTAATTTGAAGTGGTATAAGGCAGCCATACCAGAAATGTATATTCATTCCAGCTTGTTCTTGGCGGCTTGATCCCGTTTCTGTTATCAGGAGCAAAGGAAGGCGTTTGAAAGCCTGGTATTGTTCATTTTTTTCTCTTCTTTTTGGAGATTTTTTGGTTTTGTTTTTTCTAGTTTCATCTGGTGTTTGATTCATGGGATATTGGAATGTGTTTTGAGATTGCCTCTTGACTACCTGATTTATTTACTCATTTTGTCGTGGAGAAAAAAAAAAAAAAAAAAACCTAATTGCACCGCCTAAATCTGTATTTGACTCATGACCCCAACAAAGCACAAAGGTTATATATCCTAAATATACCAATGACTTGTATACTTTTTAATTCAACACATTCTACAACATATTCATTGAAAATTATATTTTAAAATTTGAATTAAAAATAAGAAAACTTAGAGTTGTAGATTTTAATAATTGAATTGATAAATGTTATAAAATATGTTAAATCAGAAAGTATACCTATTATTTTCCATCCTAAATACAATTACAAAAAGTGACACATTTATTTTCAATTAAAATTAAAAAATTTAAAGTTTGAACTTTGAAGGTTCCTTAATTTAAGGAAATGTTTTACATGTATACACATGCAAAAGTAATGGTATCCACAATTTATGTTAGTTATCCTAATCAAATCGCACATAAAATTTGGGCTGACTGTTATTGGATGAACAATGCCGAAAGATGGAAAGTTAGATACTATTTGAAGAAAAGATGTAAGTAATTATGTGATTATCAATCTTAATTGGACTAAGCATAGGAGAGTAATAATAATTTTCTAGCGTTTAGGGCTAGTATGGCTACAAGAAAATTTTACTGAAAAAATGGTCGTGAAAATACTATTTGGAAAGTTAAAAAATATTGCATAAAAAGTTGATAAGTTTTGCAATGAAATGTTATTGAAAATTTGTTAAGTTGTTAATTTTTATGTATTAAGTAAAAAATTGGTATAGGAAAAATTGGTAGGAAAATTGAGGTCCCACATTAGAAGAAGTTAAGGTAAATTTTTTTTGAACAGAAGTTAGGGTAAATTTTTTTCATTCAAAAAGTGTAGAAAGAAAATTTTATTAATTAAAAATTATATTTAAAAAATAAAGAGATTTTTACTATCTTTTTATTATATTATTAAGATGTAAAAATACTTAAATAATCATATGAAAAATAAAATAAAATAAAAAAAGAAGAGGAAACTTACCAACAAAACACATTCTCGGGATTAATCCTGGAGCAATCGAGAAACACAATCCTTGCAGTCTCCTGGCAATTTGACCACCAAAACTGTTGATCCTTTAATTTTTAAGAAAAGTAGTGCCTTCGGTATATGTAGTTATGGCTACACTATAAATTGTTAAAGCCACTCAATTTATTTAATTTTTATCTCAATTTGACTATTAAGAATAGTTGATAATTGATAAAATATTTCATATTTATTAGTCTATTTGCCCCAAAATAATTATTGCTTTTTAACTTTGAATTTTTTTCAAATTAATTGTCATTTTTTTAATTTTTTTAAGGCAAATAAATATTTTTTTTCCTATTTTAATCCTATAATTATTCATTTACTTTGATTTATATTATCTTATTATGAAAAATCTCTCTTTATCTTTTAACTTTTTTTAAAGGTAATATAAGTAAATATATAATTTTTTTCAAAATTACTAATTTAGAGTAAAAGTAAAAAAATGATATTAGTTTTTATGGAATAAGAAGAATATTTAATAAATTAAAATTAATTTATAAATAGATATTTGAGATCTCATATTTATGTCTTATATCTCAAAATAACTATTGTTTTTTTATTTTTTTTGAAATTAAAGATTTAAAACAATTAATATATTTACATATATTACCCTTACAAAAAAGCTAAAACATAAAGAGAAATCTTTTGTGATATGATAATTAATTAAAGTAAATAAATAATGATATGGTTAAAACAAAAAAATATTTATTTACATTAAATTTTTTTTAAATAATAATTAATTTGTAACAAATCTAAAATAAAAAATAATTTTTTTAGAACCAAATGAAGTAAATTAATATTTAACAAAAAATTATAAATTAATAAAAAAATACATAAATTACATGATTATAACAATTAATAGTGTGACCATAATCATATCCGCACAAGTAGATTGAATATGGTTCACGGTTTACGTGCTGCTCTACTAATACCTGTTTTCTAAGTAACAGCTTAAACAAGTCAGAGTCTTAAAATAGATATCTCACCAACTAAATTTTATTGGCGTATTGGTGCTTAACGGCCACCTAACCTCGATATTAATTGACTAAAAATTGAAAAATGAGCATTATGTTGTAGTACACAAAAAAATGACAGCTGTTATGTGACATTCCAAATATTCATTGAAAAACATGCAGTTAATTAGGCACCTAAGTCCTTTTTTTTTTCTTTTTTTTTTTGTGTTTGTCTATGCATAGGTCAAGTGTCCCCAGTCCTTTTGTCAACTTGCAGTGGGAACAACATTTATTATAGGGGTTACTGTCACGCCCCAGAACCTAAATTCAAAACGTGACAACGCCGTGCACTCGTGAGAGGATCTCACAAATGCATAAAACTCGAAACTTATCATACCACAATCTGATACCATCAAAATCTGAAGATAAAATTTTAAATTTGCTTTAATATCATAAAATCTCCAAATACAGTCTAACTTACAAGATCATGATTATATCTAAAATCTATGTTCAATTTACAAGATAGCTAGCCCTCTAACTCGTCACTCCCTTGTTTTTCCCCGTCCTTGACTTCACTTCCTGAAATGGTGAACAAAGAAAAACTATGAGATAACTTAGTAAGTAAAATATGGAGTGCCCTTAATTAAACTTATAGCATGCCAACAAGTGCAATCACGAAAAATAGATATGGGTATGGAAACGAAATAGACATCTCCTCTATAGGTCATGACCAGTGTTATAAACCTCCCACTGGTAGGCTACACTTGAACGAACCGGTTTTATCAACATGTCGACATGTGCTAGCGTTTAACCCCCCACTAGCAGGATCATTAATAACATAACTACATCGGAGACAAAACAGGAAGAAGTTAATAGAAAAATCACAATTCACAATCACAATTCACAATCACTTTCAGATCATCAGGACAGTCAATTAAATTCCAAGTAGGCATGCTCAATTTAATGAAAGCATAGAAATTTCACTTCAAATCAGCCATACTTACTTTTGCATAAAACGGGTTTAGTCCTGCCACCACTTCAAAATCAAATCAAAACATGCTTTTAAAAATTGTACGAGCATTATCATAAATTTACTTACCTTAAATCGCATAACATAGAAAATTCACTCCATAAACTGAGGACTCAATCCAAGTTCTAGGGCAACCAATGATCAAGAACCTAATTAAAATATTCAAGAATTAATACCGTATTATCACAAATTCAAAGTGAAATCTTCATTAAGATCACCCCTAATCACGATGCTATTTCTATTAATCTCCACATGATCAGATATCTCCAAATTCGTTCTTATATCACAAACTAATCATTTAAATCCCCGTTAATTGTTGACCCTCGGTGTGTAAACAGTAATCTGTAAACAGTGATCACGCATGAACAGTAACTGCACTTCCAAAAATCAGCCAAAACACTAGTTAATTCACGGGATTTTTCTCCAAAAATCACAGCAACTAATTAAGCTAATTTCTCTACCTACACCAAGCTTAAAACATAACTTAATGCTGTCAAAATTCATCCCCAATTTCAATAGAAATTCCCGAACAGTACAAGGGCAAATCAAAGGCAGAAAATTCAAGATTCAAGGCAGAAAATTAACGGACAAATTCGGGGTTGGAGGGCTGTCACATACCGAAATTTAACAAGCAAAATCGGAGCTGCAGTTGGGGAAGAGCCGGCGGAAAGTGCAGGGGGAAATTCACGCAATCTACCAAAAATTGAAGGAACCAAGAGCAATTAAGGTAAACCCAGCCTAAATCAAGGTTAAAGAAATGATTTCTTGGCTGAATCTTACCAGAAAAACCCGAGAAATTCGCACCCCCACACAGCAGAGCAGCAGCCGGAAGTAGCAGAGCAGAGCAGATCCAGATTCTGCAGAGGGGAGGAAAGAATTTTGGGTTCAATTTTCATTCTCCAACAAGAAAAGAAAGGGGAAAGCTTCAAGCTCTTATCGGTTTCTCTTCAAGTATAGGAGTCGGCAGCTTGGGGCTTTCGGGAAGAAGAAGAATGAGCAGATGCGCGGGCTGAAAAAGGAAGAAAGAAGGAAAAAGGGAAAAAGAAAAGAAGCTGATCCTTATCCAAATTTCTACTCTTTTAAGTCCCTCAACTTTGGATCTTTTGCCATTAAGCCCCAAAACAACAGTTTTCCACAATGTAGTTCTTAACTTAATGCTAAAATATCACAAAATTTTGGGGTATTACAGTTACTGTAGAGTAAACTGTCCTCTTTATTATTTTTTTAAAGACTTATTTAAAAGAATTTATTTAATATGTATTTTAAGAATATAAATTAAAAATATAATAAATATATTTTTTTATAATTTATTTATATAAAAATTGATATTTTTTTAATATTATTGATATATAAATAATTTTAATTAGTT